TCTACCATGCAATTGCATTGGCTTTGCGTTGGTGACGCACGTACCCATATACATATCTGGATTTGGCTGGGTCTGGCTACAACAGAAAACAATGCCTGTAACTATCTAATGCATATATATATATATATATATTCATACATAATACGACCCAAAAATATGGTATTCAAAATGCTGCATTTCGGTGACCGGCCTGTTTTTAACGGTTGGTGAATACGCAACTCACACATTTTTTCTGTACTTGTTCTTCCATTCTTCCGTACTCTTCTTTCAATTTGAGAAAGCCGAATTCGGGCCAAAGGAAGTTTTAGCTGGCAAGGTCCGTCTGCTGCTAGTCTCTCTCTCAATCTGCTAATCTCCATCTCTGTGCAGCCATACATACGTTCATCGATGCCAATCCAGTACCGATGCAGTAGGTAGGTATATAGTGGAGTGCGTCCACAGCAGCGCGGCCATCGACGATAACAACGACGACGACGACAATGATGAAGACGTTCGTTCGGCCGTCTGCCTGCTTACCTGTCTGCTTGGCTACAGTTTCAGCTACAATGGTCGAGGGCCGCTTGCTTGTCTGTATGACTGCTGGCTTTCACTGGAAATGCAAAACGCGATGACGATCAAATATAATATAACAGCCTCGTTGATAGTACCTCCTGCTGTCGCTGAGCCAGACGCCTAAACTGCAATACTTGTGCTCTGCTGGCTGTTTCGTTCGCTGACTAGCCGCAATGAGCCGCTGCTACGTCTCGGACCCACCGTCGGGCGACGAGCAAAAACTACCAGCAGCAACAAGTAAACTCAACTAGAGATAGAGAGCTGCATCAGCCGCCGCAGCTAACGAGGACTGAGTTGCGTTGTAGTAGAGCGTATCTGTCTGTGAGGTCTGAGAGAGGTTGCGAAGAAATGGAGGAACCGCCGGCCGCCAGCCAAGCATCAGCCCGCCGTTAGTGTGTCCGGCTGCTAGGTAACTATGGGCCGCTCTCTAGTAGTAACGAACACAGAGAGCAGAAGTGGTACAATAGAACGATGGCTAGCTAGCTCCATCTTTGATGCGGATGCTGCTGCTGCTGTTGTTGTTGTTCTTAGAGATGTGGGCCCTAGTCACTTCGCTCGAGACCAAACATCTGGTGACGTGGTCTACGAGCAAACTAACGAAACTCGGCCTCTACACCACGATAGCGCTGTGTTAATACTGTACATATATTGTGCACAGCCAACATTGCTCATGGGATGTCGCCGGCCGGTGCTGGCGTTGCAAACGCTTGCCTCGTTCATTGATGTCGAGCTAGAAGCGACCAGAGACGGCGCACTCGCCCAGTCGTGTGGTACGATCGTTGTGCCAACTAAGCACACACACAGAGCTGACAGAGACCCAAAAGAAAACTGCCAGCTTGCATAGCGGGGACTCCGTCGCTGGCGAAGTTGCGTCCGCCCATTCTTTCTTCCATACAGACATCCATCGAGTTCTTCTATGGCGCGTTTGCTGTACTGAGTTCATCCACGCAGGAACCTATTTCTCTCTTCCTATGTTGTTTAGTGGCTTGAGTTCGCTATACAGCAGCGGCAACGGAAGGATCAGGCAGCAGGCCAGTCGAAGCTTCAGATAGAGCAGTTAATGTTTTGGTTACAGTACCATTTCTCTAGCTTCGAATGCCGTCGATGCTCCTGATTGGAACAGCGGCGGCAGCAGCAATGACAGCAATGAACGCGAGGCCATCCGGCTTTACCCAGATTACACAGAAGTTATGCATTCCCTCTAATTCTGCGTTTGAACGACACAACAACGCCAGATGCGGAGGTACTGTTGTTACCGGCAGCGCCGTTCGAGACACATCGATAGACGAACGATCCAAAGAACACGATACTGAGATACTGTTGATACTGGGTTGATGCTGCCGCAGATGTTGCTGATGATTATGGTGATGACAATGGCGTTGATCATGATGCTCCAAGGTGAGGTTCCGGAGAGAGCGGTTGCGCCACGCTCTCGACTGTCCCGTTGCAGTAGAGAACCGCAGCCCTGTTAAATGTGCGACACTTTTCTCTAGAGAGCGGCCCGGATGTACTAACACTAATCAGCACATTGTGCTCACACAGGCATACTAATACAGTCACAGCGATGTGTGGCCACGTACGAGATCAGACATGAACAAACGAACAAATAACAATGCATTGAAAAAGCACCAATACGGCGTAGAATACAATAAAGTGAGTCATCAGAATGCTTTGTTCATACCGGCTTACAAGACAAACTTGACTCATTATTTAGTCAGCAGCCAAAACAAACTACTCAAAATATAGATAATTCTCCCTTGCATAGGTACACATTTTTTTCTAAAACGGACAAATTCTTATATGCCATCTTAATGCCGCAGCTGAAATTAGTCATCGGTAAATGTAAAGTCCCGTTGGAGTAGATTTTTAAAGCCTGAACTGGCTGTTAATCTCTGTTCGAAAGAAATGAGGAAACATGTGGCTGTTGCGCCCACTCCATTCTATCCAGAACGCACTCGAACAAGACGATTCAAGCCTTGCGTCAGTCACCGCTTGTTAATCTGGCTTAAAAAAGCAAGAGCCGCCAGCTCGATACCTCTGAAAGTATCTTTTGACACGTGAATAAGAGTAAAAATAGAACAGCTATTTACATAGAAGCTAACGCTTTCAGCTTTTCTCAGGTTTTCTTCAAAAAAAAAACTTTAACAGAAAATATCTATCGAGAGAGATATAATTCTATAGAGCATACAACATGTTCTGCCCGTCATCATCAATCAAGTACCCCTTTTCATTATTAGCTGTTGGATTTACATTTAGCTGGTTTGTAATTTGGCAGTATATTTTCTGATTCGGAAATGCGATGGACTTAGCTAAAACTGGAATGAAAGATTAAATGGGATCTCGACGGAAAATTGACTCGTATCTACCGGACCTCATCGCAGACAATTAGAATTCAATTTAAGCACACATAAACTCGTATGTAGCCAACTCCAACGACGCAATCAGTGTTGTTTGAGATCAAGGCTTGTTGACGAGAAAACTACCGAATACTGGGGTCGCCTTTTACCCGAACACGATCATGTGCAATTCCAATCATATAATAACAAACAAAAATTTATTCTGCGATAATGGGCCTAACGTTTCGTCCTGCAAGCTATAATCATTGCAACACCTTATATAATTCACTTTGCGCTGTCGCAGTGCATCTCAATATAATGCTCGATTTGTAATTGTCGCAATGACAAGTGTATATGAGAGAGCCATTTGACTAATTACTAATAACGAACAAAGAATTCTCTCCTCGCAAGATCCTTTGCCACATCTAATGCCTCGGCCTCACCCGAAAACCCTCTTGGCACTGCATATGCAAATTATGGGGTCATGTGAGAATTTTGTGTGAGTGGGCAGAGATTTCTGAGCAATATTCCATGGCTTTCAACCAGTGCCTTGACAAGGGTAGTTTTTGCTGTTGGCCTTAGATGTATTGAACTGATTGGCGAGGCCAGGGAAATGGTCCGGCCATATTAATGGCAAGACCGTAAACATATTTCTAGCTCACTAGCAGACGACAGCGGCGAACTGCGACAATGATGCGCAAATATTGGGCTAGGATTGCAGTTTACGAGGTGTTGTAAACGCCAATCTTTTTGCCTATTGCTCGGTCACTCTTGGCGACTAGCTGGGTAGTCCCACAGAGGCACTCATTCCGCTCGCCTCCATTCCACTTATAACTTCTGCTCCTTAGGTGACTTAAGAACAATCGATAGACTTCTGTTCAATCAGGGTGTGACACTACACCATGCTCTCTAGTTCTTTGCAAGCAAATCGTTGATACGTAGATGTGCCTTCCTGTCTGCAAGTGGTATTAGGCTCGTGTGACTTCATGAAACACACCGTCAGACATCAGCTTTGTCGGTTTCAGAGAGCGGAAAGAGACCTAATGGACTATCTACACTCCGGTCATCGAACTTCCGAATAAATCTTACATAACTACATAGAAATTAGGAGTAATTCAACATTGTACGGCTGTATATATCGTACAAAAGCTTGTAGCAAAAAGCAGATCTTGTTAACTCATCAAAAAAAAAAAAGTCGAATAAAATTTTTAACGTGCTTCAATTACATACGAATGGACAAAAGCCTTGAACCACCTTGACAACTCAGGCTTTCGCACGGAGTTGCTCTTTCAGATGCTAAATGGTAAATACGGCCAAAGATAGCTTTTTCTCTAAATCAGAGGTTAAAGGTTTGCATGAACGTGCGCCTAGAGACTGCATTGGCATCTAAAAGGGGGAAGGATGTTTCTGATGTCCGTCGTGACAACCCAAGACTAGACTTCAGAGGGCCGAAACGTGTGGTTATAATTTTTATCTATTTTCCGCAGACGAGGAAAGACGGTAGAGCTATAACAGAAGATGAAGTCCCAGTTGTATTTTATTATAAATTATAAGAGAATACTCGAAATACATTTGCGTGCTTTATGCGTAAGTTAATTGTTTTATTAAGGGGATGGAATATAACGTGCGATTCGAAGTACCTTCCGGTTTTCCGAGCTATTGTATCGAAAGATTATAGGCTTTAGCAGTATTCTTGTAATCAGCAATCTCTTGTTGCGTGTTACGTCGCGGACTATGGTCAAATATGGTAAACTACCCAACTTCACGCGCTTTTATAAACAAGTCTATGAACCTTGGATGTGTCAATAGAAAAAACCTCAATTTTCAACCTGTAGTCTAAGTGCTAACGTTACGTTACTCTGCTATAAAAATAGTGCCATATTAGCCTATAGGATGCCCTATTATTCAAACGCTTGCGAAGCAAAAGTCTTTCAGCTAATATCATTAAACGTATGTCCGTGATCCGTGGCTAAGAGATCGGTGTTACTATTAACAAATGTTTAAGTAGACCTTAGATATGTGTCAGGATAAATGCTTCACTGTGTGCATATGTGTATATCTGAACCGTTGTCTAAAGATGAATTCGGTGGCTTGTTCTTTTCCTTTTTGCAGAATTCATTCGCTTGCCAGAGTCGGGGACGCAAGGCTCGCGTTGGTGGGTACTTTGTCACCAAATTACCGGCGTGAGTAGCGTTTACCTAGATTGGCAACAATGAGTAGTGACACGCAGAGTGTCGCTTTTGATGCTCACCCTCTGTCATTGTCGGGTCCTAACACGCTGCCGTCGATGACTTCAATGACATCGATGAGCTCGACCGACACATGGCTCGGCTTCACATCAGGGGACTTCTCCTCGTTCGGTGGTTCGTTCCCAGGCGGCTACGGCAGCTTCGAGTCAAAAGCGTTTGGCGCCTTTCCGCCACTGCAATCGAACCAGGCAGTACCGGTGAACGTATCGGCGATGGAGCGCACATCGGTGACGCGCGCCGAAGTCGACTCAACCGGAGATTCGAAGGGGCCGTCTACGCCTGCATCAGCCGCCTCCGCCTCTGGCGGTGAAGAACGCGTCTCTTCCGACAGTTCTCCACCTACTAGTACAGCGTCTTCGAACAACAACAGCATTAGTACAAGCAACAGTGCTACATCATCTAACAATAGCCAGACAGCACCAACAACTCAAGTTAATTCGAGCGCAAACTCAAATGCCGGATACCGCCCCTGGGAGCAGGCCGCTGAGCCTTCGCCCTTTGCAGAGGAGAAGAACTCCAGCAGCAACAACAACCCTCCAGCGACAAAGAATCCCTCCGCTAATCCCAGCGATCCCAGTCCTACCGCCCCGTCCACTGAATCATTCCACGTAAGCGATATTATATATCCTTATACTATAATGATACATGTGCTAGATTCAACCACCGCATTATAGCACAGTATGGTGGGTATAGCGTTCCCTTGTTAAAATTATAGTGGGATTGTCGAAAAAGCTGACAGTCAAGTAGGTTAAATGGTGTGTTAATGGGAACGTTTCTAAGTGCACAAACTCAGTGGTGATCTAAGCTCAAATCTGGGCGTAGACATATTTGGATCCAAACAATCGGAAAGGCGATTAATATAGTGGTAATCCCTCTTGCTGTTTGGTGCCTTTGGATCACACGTAACAGATCTTCTGATATCCTGATAGATCCTTGAAATCAATGCTAAATAGAAATTCCGTGTTCTGTCATAGATAGGACCGCCAGCTCCGTTGAAAAGTAAACATGAATGCTTATGCAATAAACGTCAACGAATTTGCCTAATGTTAGAACGTTATATATGCATAACATGGTACTACGTATAAAGCAGGCGACAGGAAATCTCACCGATAAATGATATACAATTTAACTATTATCGCTGTTATCGTAGGGCCCCAGTCCATCAGAAGATAGCAGCTCGGCTGACCAGCGGCCGCCAAGCGGCTTCAAGGCGTCACCACCTGCAGCTTCACCATTTGGCTCGGAGGGAAGTGGCGCTGCGTTCCGCAGCTCCACGGCTGAGGCTGATACGACGACCACGGAGCTGCGACCAGTGGTACCCGATTTCCAGGTTGCCGCGATCACCTCGTCCACGTCTAATTCGGGCAGTTCGTCCGGTGGAATCAGCCGGCCACCTTCGCAGATGCAACCCAGCCCCGCTCAACAGTTGGCCCCACTCGAACCACTGCAACCCGTCCAACCGCTGCAGCCAACGTTTCAGTCACTCCAGCCATTACAGCCATTTCAGAACTTGCAACCCCTGCAGCCGGCGACGTTAACTCCGCTGCAGCAGCTGCAAGTTCCTAGCACGATGGGGCCTGGTGGCTTAGGGGGTGTCGGAGCACACGGACCACCAAGTAGTATGGCGGCGGCGGCAGCAGCAGCAGCGGCGGCTGGGCCAATGGGTGCTGGGGTGCCGACGATGAGCCAGCTGTCAATGCCGATGCATGCCGGAGTGGCCGGAGTGTCGATGCAGGTGTCGCAGGGCTGGAGCCAGGAACTCGCCTCACCACAAGCTGTGCCCGTCTCAATGCCACCGATGTCCGGTTCGATGTCGATGCAGCTGGGGCAGCTTTCCGGTCAGCACCTGCTCCTGCAGCAGCACCATCCGGCCCACTCGCAGCACTCGCCCGGCCAGAACCACAGTCTCAGTCGTGAGTAGTTTATGTTTAATGTACTTCCTGTGTATTATGCTATCGTTTGCATGCGCACGTAAATAATGTCGAAAACGGAAATGAAGAACAATTGCTGCTGGTTAGTCGTCAGCTGAATCCTTGCTTTATGTCACCTTCAGCAAGACAGACAAACAAACCATAGTGATAACAGTAAATATAGAAATGTTTCACTTGCATGTAGAGTGCCCGACGATCTTATTTACTACTTTTCCTATAAGACATCCATATAGCCTAGCCAAACTGAGATAACACCGATGCCGCTTGTTTGTAAGCTGCATCTGATTGAGACCATATGCACATCGACTAAATATTAGCATGTACTGATAAGCGCATTTATCACCAACAGATGTTACACTACACACTATTATCTAGAAGTTAGACACTACTTTCTACAGCGAAATTCCAAAAGTATAACCAGTGATTGTTTTGCACCATTTGGGCTATTGAGTATCCTCAACTGAATTTCCTTTATAGAGCTTATTGAACTTATTATTAGTTATTGAACTTCCTATCATTGAAAAACTAGCTTTTTCTTGAGCGCATGCCCTCTGCGAGGAAAGGCCAGATAAATATGTCTCATATACATATTACGTACAAATAAGGTATTGGCATTGTGTCTCTTAACCCATGATGATTTGATAGACTGAGATTGTTACTATGGTCTTGCTTGGCTCAACTAACGCGGACATGCATATTAAGAATAAATGAGCGAGCTGCGTAGGCAATTGACAAGGGTACCGTCGCTAAGTTTCAGGCTTGCCTACCTGTAGTAGGTACTTTTAGCTTGATCTGATCACATGCGTTTGTTTGCATGCACGTGATTCAGTCGTCTTTACGAATCATACACAATTTATAGTAGTCAATTTCATGCTTCTTCTGTTTTTGTTATCTTCTTGTATTTGTGAAGAAAAGTGGGTTGCACATAACCTTTTATGCGTGATCGAGGTCGTCCTTAATCGATGCCATATGATCATATCTATCTTTTCTGTTCACCGTTATGCTAACGTAGAATCGAGTTCGCTGCGCCAGCTCAGCACGCCGCCCACGCCCACACAGATGGTGCCCCCTTCCAGCCCACCCGGTCTCACTACCGATGGACCCGGAACACCTTCACTTGAACAACAACGCGGAGGACATCAGAAGAAAAAACGCAAAAGGTAAGTTTGTTCTGTATTGTCTCCTCGTTATAGACAAACAAGAGTTTCAAAATTCCTACGTAGCAGTAATTACGTAGAAGCATGTGGACAGCACATTTTCTAAATAGTATAGATGCATAAATGATGGGCATTCTACAGTGACAATAAATTACAATTATAAATCAACTCAATGAGGTATTACTAATAATTATGACGAAGCCTTTTCTTATGTTGCCGATTGCTTTGCCTCAATCAGTTCAAAACGTTTATTCAGTGACAATAGAAACTCGTCGTTATCTTAGAATAAAAATTTATCCATCGTTAGTTATTTTCCGAAGTTTCCCTTATTTCTCTTGGCTTACTTCATTCAGTCACATTCGCCCTTACTCGAGGGTCGAAGCATTTTCCTTGCAAAAGGCTTGCAGCAAATAAAGAAGTTCCTATTTTTCAAGGAGTCGACACCAGTATATTTTTGGTTTGTCACTGTTTCCATTCGTTGTAGCTTAGTCGATTATATATAATGTCGATTTTGCGCAGGTGCGGCGAATGTCCAGGCTGCCTGAAGAAGGACAACTGTGGAGAGTGTGGGCCGTGCCGGAGCGTTCGGTCCCATCAGATCTGCAAGATGCGCCGCTGTGACACGTTGGTTAAGACCAAAAAGGACAAGGTGGGTGAAATAGGACCACGATAAGATATTTGTTCTCGTCTTTATTAAACTCTTTTATTTTCTGCTATATTCATATGTTTTTTCCATTGTTGATAATATCTATTCGAACAAACATCCGTCATTGTGTAGGGCTCAATTGAGCATTATTTATTTCGAAATCCTTTGTGTACCTACACATTACGACTTGGTCCAGTTTCTATATTGAACGTAAAGTACTAAATTTGTCAGAGTGGTGTTCAACAAGAGATTGAAGCTCAGGGTTAAAAATACGATCCTTCGAGATCTCGCCCTACTTTGCCTCTGCAACATACGCGTGCTTCAGACTGTGGCGGGTGGAGCTTTTTGTTTAGTCTCTAAATATGGGTCAAATGGGCCGGTTCATTTTATTAAGCCCAATGGCCCGTATCTTCAACAACAGATAGAAGGGGGCAGGGCATGTGAAGAAACTACGTATCTAATCATTCTCTTCGATCTACAACGCTAACGACAAACGTTAAATTTTGATTGTTGCCACTAAATATAAATACATTAGTTTCAGCTTCGGCATGCGTGTGTTCTTTCCATGGTAAGAGCGACAATGGAATTTATTTCGATCATATCATAACATCTGTTTCATATTCCTAACCGATCGGCCTTTGATATTGCTACACAGTTGTATCCTCCACAGCTCATTCAATTCCGGAGACCGAACTCAATTGGTTATCGAGGTGGCGTATAAATCCATGCATCTTTTTTTTGTAATTTTAAGGATTTCAAGCACACTGGAGCTAATTGTTCTATTTTATCGAAAGATATTGTAGGTCGTAGTTGACACCTCGACCGCAGGGGCCATATAGTTACGCATGGAGACCTCTTCGTTCTTTGTACTGATATGTTTGAATTAATTTCTTTTCTGTTAATCGAAAAATGGAGACGATGTAGTATATAGTTCATTAACTACTGAAGGCAACTGTGCTGATTGGTGCGTCCGTGGATGCTTGTATGCAGGATTTGCCCTGCCGTGCAAAACACAGCAAATGGCGTTCTTGGATATCGAGCTTTTCTAAAGTAGTAGTAACTCTTTCGGCCACGTGAGCATACAATCGTCGTCATCACGCTCAGCATCCCCAAGATCACGATCATCATCTATATCTATAGCTATCTTGACCTGCCCAATAAATCTCTCTCTCTCTCTTTATATATGTAAAGAGTCTCTGCAACGTGCGGCGTCTTGCACGTTTTAACAACGCAGTCACTTGCGCACTCTGAGCGCTACTTAGTTAGTAGCTGGTAGCATTATACTGCATGTGATTCAGTGGTCACAACGAATGGAGAATGAACAGTACTAATCTGTCTTAGCAATAGCACACTCAGACGGGCTCACCGTACGCGCGTTCTCTTTGGAAAAAGACTCTGCCGACCAAGTTTCAAGGAACTTCCATATGGCTGCATTGATGATGATATAATGCTCTACTGATACACAGGGAATCCGACATATTTTATTTTCTATTTACATAACGACACTGTAGATTTTACAGCCCGCTTCCGTACGACACTGTTTCCGAGTACGCTATCTACATATCTGACGATCCCACATAGTTCAATGGTTCAACACCTACGATGAGGATGTTAGATGTCGTTTTTAATTTTCCCTACTAAATGCTGCCTTGCTGAAGAAACCTGTCTCATTATGTGCGTTGTACAAATAAATCCAACGGCCATCCATGAATTGTGTACGTGTTTGTGCTTGTCTGGGCGTGTGATTAAGTAATTGACTGATTTTGATCAGGACAGTCCGTATGTCACAAGTCAAAGCTAGGAAAAGTGATACTGGTGTCACCTTGAAAAGCTGAGACTTGTAACTGTAACAGCAGCCATTGGTCGCCACAGCGATACTTCACAGCGTCACACAGAATAGGGACATCATTTTGGATATAAGAACCATCCAGTGGCAGAACTATGCAAAAGGACACAGGAGAGAGGAGGGAAAGCGTAATCGTCTTCAACATCATCATCACGAGCTTTTACTTAAGTACTGCTTTATAGCAGTAGAAGCATTAGATACTGAGAGAAAGAGACAACAACAATAATGACGATAATTCTCTCCAGAGCCCTTAGAGACACGCTCACTTTTTCTGGTGGACAGATCGTCGTTCCCGTCCGGCTCAGCTATCGGGCCCCGGTCATGGTGATTCTGCTGATGGCTGCTGCTTTGTTGTTAGTTTGTGATGTGGCTATTGGCTAGGCGCTACGTGTTTTCGCCGGCGACGGTGGCGCAGTCACTTCTCTCCGAATCCTGCCGTTGTGGCGCAGTCTTAGCTTAATTAACCCTGAGCCTTTTGAACGGAGATTGGCCGGCCCACTGGCAGGAGTTCGTTGATACTCTGTTTTCAGCCGAACAAAGTGCATCTTTGTTGCCGTTCGGCGGCAGCTATCTCACCGCTAGTTTATTTGCCTATTTGTTTGTTTGCTTGCTTGGTCGCTCGCACGCGTGATTTGCCTACTGCGTGTTGTTACATGGCACGAGAAATTCGTTTTGCAGCTCTCCGGTCCTTCACAGTGGCTGACCCGCTGGGCTGACTGCTCACGACGCTCGAACACACCAGACCAAACACACCAACGATATTTAACGAGCAAAGCGTCCTTTGGTAGAGAGAAAGTTACAAGCCCCAATAGTTACGCGTAAGAATACGAAAAAATAAAATAAGGAATATATCATCGTTGCTACGGTAGTCGACGTAAAAGTATCGGTAACAATAGCAGCGGCAACAGCATAAACTATATATACAGATAGCCAACGTTGTATCTCTGCCACATGTGAAGAAAATCATTGAAAGTTGGCAAAGGACAAATTTAATGGTTTTGCAAATTCTCACTTCCTTCGTGCCAAAACAACGATCGGAATAGGTGTAACTGTTGTCAACTGATATTGTTACAGTGGTATTTACTTTCTGTAGAGAAAATTTCTCGCATGGGCTCTGTTTGCCATGTGGGTTACTTATGCTGCGTTACTTGAATTAAATTATATTAATGTATATACTTGGACATCATATTATTAAGTGTCGCTGTTGTTGTTGTTACTTGAAAATTCGCTTTAAAGAAACCAGAATATAGCGATTTCTGCACAGCTAATCATCACTGAAGATAACCGTCTTCTATGTTTCCGTCATTTTAAAAAGGTGTCTACTAATTACAGAGTGGCGAAAACAGAAGTCATTCGCACTTGTCCTTAGTCGCCGGCCTGCGTCTTATACAACGAGATCTAATTTGGCAATTCGGCATAAAACTATCGGCTCGTGTTTGTCGCGCATGTCGACACCAGCTCTGAGCCTGCAAAAAGTATTATTGTACCATTATTCTTGCTACCATCGGCTTGACGTGCAAGCTTCATCGAATCTTCGCCTAATAAAGAAGAGTGTGTACATAGACATAGGCACAGGCTAACTTCTGATACATGTATCCCTTACACTAGACAAATCCTGCGAGAGCAAACACGTCGTTGCAGTGTAACTACGCGTCATAGCGAGCTCAACCTTCTCTATTTCGGGTGTTGACTTGTTGCCGATAGCGTCCCGTCTTCTGCTCGATAAAGCCGTTTAGTACTATTCTGTCTACTAGAGAGATATTTCAGGTGACCGGCGTTTCTTAATAATAATGTTTGAATGAACCTAGCTTATGTTGTTTGTCTTCGCTTAGAGTTTCTGGCCAGTTAGAGTCCCTGGAGCAAGTTTAAGCCACAACTTGGTATTGCCGCTCACTCCAAACTTTAAATGTTTGTTCGAGAATTAAATCATTCACTGCCATAGAACATCATCAGGATGACCCTTACGGTATCACAGCTCAAATTCTGTGGCCGTAACATTTGACGTATGTGTACAGAATGCTCGCATACAGAAATCGCATCCCTTACTTAAGCAGTAAATAGCCACTGGTACAACATCGAAGCTATATGCAGGACTAATCGACTAGAAACAGTTTGTCTTTAATAGGTAATCTATGGTCCTGTTTGAATAGATCGACTCAAACACGGTCAGAGCATCTTTACCCTATAGCAGTCTTCAGGCAATGTGCCATATACAGTTCACAAATAGATATTTACTTATTTTTAGAACCTTGTGTGTACATCGAGTCAAACAAATGCATCTCCTAGTACGCTCAAAGATCGTTTGCAATTAGAAAGGTGAAACAGATTTTCAATCTATATTAACCCCTTCTATAGTGACACTTGATGTATACTCATTTTGATGGCATAGTGAGACACGGTGTTGGTTCCTATGGCTCCACCATATGTCCGTCTGGCTCTGGGCGAGCACCACGCCCGCTATTCAATAGGCGCTAGTTGGTCACAAGCATTTTAATCGAAAGGATTTCGCTGCTCCGTTACGCTACGACCGCTTAGTTAGTGCTTTCTTTTTAATTTCTATTACGCTGTTTGCATATGTATTTTGCGCTGTGTGCTGCCGTAGTTTGGAGGAGAAGCAGTGGTAGCAGCAGCAGCTGGTTTATGAAGTCGGCCATGGCCTTTCTTTTGTTGGACACAGGCTGTAGTCAGACCGTTACCATTCGTGGGCGATCGGCAAGTTGGCATCACCCTCCAATATTTAACCTGACGGCGGGACTCTCTTTCTGAAGGCAGCGACCGGGGTCTAGTACTGCCACAAACTAACCCAGTATACGGCAAACAACTTTTTCTGGTCTAGTTTCAGTTTCAAACCTTTCTCTTCCTTTTTTCCCCTCCGCGTGAGCAACGCTCTTTCTTTCACTTCATTTTGAGTAAACAGGACACGTCCCGGTGATTTTGGCTGGTTCACGCCGATGGCGACGGCGCACACTTGATGTTCTATTGTTAACGTGACAACTCTAAAGTTCTTTTCGTGTCCGACAACAGACGTAATAGTATCATCAGAAACAAACACCGGCACTAGCAGAAAAATAATTAAGATGAGTAATATTGACTTCAAAATGTATTTGATATATACACGTTTTGTTTTTGGGAGTTCTTCACATTAATAGAAGCTTTT